ATAATTATCGCCGTCACAATAACTAAACTATTTTCAAATCCGTTGAACTGATGCCTAAATGCCATTTCATTACTGCCATTAATTATACGTCAGCTTGTAATTCAGTTAAAACCGCTAAAAATGACCCCGTTGCAACTAAATGTTAAAATATATGACTAAAAAGTATCTTTTATTTACATGGATCGATAATATATACGGCAATTTATGAAATTCGACATATTAAACCCCAGCGGAATGTCAACTTCGATTCACATTAAATGAAATAAATAAAATACCCACATTTAAATAAAAAATCAAATATAAAATATGTATTTTATTAATAAAAATTATTTCAAAATTATACAATTATTGCCGCCACAATAACTTAACTATTTTAAAATTCGTTGAATTGAGCTTTTAATACTAATTCAAACAGAATGGGGCGTATAATTACTACCGTTAATTATACGTCACCTTGCAATTCAGTTAATAACTTCTATTTAAAAATAAACCCGCTGCAAATGTTTGAGTATTGAAATGACTAATAAATCTCAATTATATGCATGGACCAATAATATATACGACAATTTCTACAATTCGAAATAGTAAACCTCATTGGAATGTCAACTTCGATTCGCATTAAATTTAATAAATAAAACACCTACATTTAAATAAAAAAGTCGAATATAAAAAAAGAGTTTGGAGACAAGGTTTTTTTATAATAATAAACTCCTTGTAATTGTGGGGTCATAATTAGATGCATTTGCGTTTTGGAAATAGGAAATCATCACAAGAGGCAAAGGGAAAAAATTTAAAAAAAAGTATTGGGTCCGGTATTAAATTTTTATTTTAGTTACAAAAATGAAAAAAATTCGCTGTTGCAAACATAAATTTACTGTGAAAAAAAATTCATGTCGGGGGGGCCCGGGCCGCCCCTGGGTATGTCCCTGCCCTCTGCCTTATGGCTAATTATGGTGTATACACTTTGACACGGTGAAAATGTGCCTCATCGAAATATTGGTTCTAGACCCCATATTTCATTGGACCAAACCCGTTTCAGAAAATTTGGATTTCATCTAAACTTTACACATCTTATTATTTCTTCAAAAATTAGTTTAAGTTCAAAGATGGGGAATATCGGTCTACGCCTTCTGGTACCTCCCACACAGGGGCTAGTGACTTAAATGCGGGCTATAGTTCATATATAGTTCATTATCGAACCTTACGTTCTACCTTTTTATCTCGATACCGCAGGTGAAATGATTGCAACAAAGTCTTAGAACCAAACCCAAAACGCGGAACAAATCAGATAACTATTTTAATATAAAAAAGGCGTTATATGGGGACTACATCATAATGGGGTCGACAACAAAACACCAAATTACAGTGAATTCGGTTGAAAAATGTGCTCAAGAACCCCGAAATACCGAAAATTGGGAGTACCCTTTCATGGGGGCTATCCGAAAAAATTAACCTATATTCAAAAATCTTTGTGGGGTGATTTGGTACCTATTAAGAACTCAAAATACTAAATTACAGCCAATTCGGTGAAGAAATACGATAAAAAAAAACCTAAAATACTGAAAATTAGGGGGCACCGTTATATGGGAGCTACTAGAAGAAGTGGACTTATAGTTATAATGTTTTGTGGAGAAATTAAGTACCCAATAAGAACGTAATGTAGCAAATTTCACCGAATTCGGTTGAAAAACGCGCTTAAGAACCCCAAAATACCGAAAATTGGGAGCTATGCTTTAGTTAGCTATGCCTGTAGACAAAAGACAACCCTATGCTAAATTTCAGCACCCTATCTCAATTCCTTCAGAAGATAGCGTGATTACAACAGACGGACGTACGGATATGGCTAGATCGTCTAAGAATTTTACCCTGATCAAGAATGAATATATATACTTTATAGGTTTGGAAATGAATATTTCGATGAGTTACAAACGGAACAACAAAATTAATAAACCCTCCATACTATGGTGGAGGGTATAAAAATAATATACATATAGTACTTAGGTCAAATTGATGTCAAAGATGTTCTTTAAAACAATTTTCGATTTTCGTTTTCCAAAAATTTTCAAAAGATAAGTTTACTACTAGTTATCGTCATTATTATTATTTTTATACCCTACACAACTGAGTTGTCAGGGTATCAAACCTTTGTGCAGGAGTTTGTAACGCCCCGAAATATCTCGACTAGCTGAGTCGATCTAGACATGTGTGTCCGTCTGTCCATTATAATTTGTATGGACCAATCGTCACGATATATTGCATGTATGGCGGGTTCTGGCCAAAGTAGACCACTATTGACCACAAAGATGGCCCGAACACCACGAAATTTTACATGGAGAAGATAATCTGGCCAAAAAATAAGCATGCCTGTTTTGATGAAGATCAGTAAATATTTAGCGGGTCAAATGGACCCAGACTTTTGTGTGAAAGATGACAAAACAATATTCTGGGCGTATATATTTATTCCTGCAGAACATAGACCCGAGAAGTTGATAGTCTATACAAGAGAAGTGTATGACTGACCTTTAAATTTATACCAATTATATGGCTGTATGTACTAGGTTGTGGAAGCTATGTGTAAATATTTGAAGGTGTCTATGTATTATGATATTGTTAAGTATTACTATTAACCCACTAGAGGGAGGAAATGGCGAGCTGATGACTTTGCATGAAGTTCCGATTATAATCAAGCATGACGCCTATACTTTTCGGTAATTTAAAAAATCCACGCTGATAGTTCTTCTAAGCCCTTAAAATCATGTATTTTTTTAATTCCATAGTTCCATGATCTCCTAGCCCTAGAAAAAATTCTATGAAAATTGCCAGTCTGCTAGTCCAAAATAATCGTTTAAAGACAATGATGATAGTTCTTCTAGTTTCTAAAAATAATTTATTTTCTATTATTCCATGATTTTCTAGCCCTAGAAAAAAATATTGTACTGTTTAAAAATCTTCTCTCTGCTAGTCTAAGAAAAATATTTTTTTGTCTTAAAGTCCTAAAAGTAATATTCTTTTTCAAATTTACGCTTATACCTCTGCTAGTTCCTCCCTCTAAAATATATTTAAAAAATTCCCGCTAATAGCTCTTCTAATCCCTAAGAAATATATATTTATTTATAGTTTTGATAGTCTCTGTTGATTACAAATTATACCTGTAGATCTTCTACCCCCTCAAAAAATGCACGCATACAGCTCTGATATTCCACAAAAAAATCCCCGCGAATTGGGTATACTTTGTTTAAAAAATACTGTTAACTTGATCGAATATAGAATGTAATATATTTTGTAAAATTTTCTAGAAATCCAAGATTTTTATCAGAACCTAAAATGGACTCAAAATATTTCTTAAAAATGTCATTTATTTTACCTCTTCAATCCTTCGAAAATATAATATATTAAAAAATAACACTTTAAATTATTTAGTCCTTATAATATTCCTTCAAAGTGGACGAATAAGACTCCTTTAAAAATATTAATAAAAAATCTAAGCTTTTAGCCTAGCTTGAAAAAATCTACATTTAAAGATTTTCCACTCCTCTAATATAATTCTAAAAAAATAATTAATTAAATATTCTATTAAGAATTGAAAAAATGTTAATGGATTGTGAATCTCATAATCCTTATTTTCATTTAAAATGTATATCAACCTCCTTAGCCAAAATCAAATATTCCCATGGAAAGAAAGAAGAAAAATTCTCATCAAACTCTGTTGTTTATTTACATAAATACTGTTATTACGTGTGTACGAAAACTCAAATCAAAATGTAAAAAGTAAATATTATTTATTGGTCAGTTTTGCAATACACATGAAATCAAAATATTTATTTTTATGTTTCCTTAAAAATAAATTCCAGAATTTTTTTTCAAATTTTTTGTCTGATACTAAAATGGCAATAGCAACAACAACAACGTAACCTAAAGGGAAGTCGTAACGAAATTAAACAAAAACATTCGAAAAAGACCACATGATAATTTGTACCATTCCAAATGGTGGCGGACAGAAAGTAATGACCCCACCCACAGATCCATAACACAGCACATTCCTCTAATTGCAAAAAAAAAAACTAAAAAAAAATTCCAAAAATTATATTAACTAGAAATTTGTGGAAAACTAAATGTTTGTACTTTGCAAAAACCAACCGGCAGAAACAGAAAAAACAACAAAACATAAATTCCGCAACAAATCAATAAACAAATTGAAAATTTATTTTCAATAAAATATCATTGCGCGTAAATATTAGCTAACAAACGGTTAGCGATGCTCAACTAAATATTACCAATTAACTCGAGACGATACGAAAAAAAAACAAGTGAACACAACAATAACAATTAAATGAAACGAAAAGAAACAAATAATTAAAACAGAGTGTCTATTTTGATGAAATGTTGTCTTGAGTGTCTCTCTGTCTGTGTGTGTGTGTGTGGTCGCATACTGTGTGAAGGCTTTCACTGACTGACTGAGCAATGCAAATAATTCTCTACGAAACAAACATGTCTGTGTACCTGTGTGAGTGAGTAACAATTTTTTGCTTTTACTTTTCCATACAGTAATCAGTCAATTGTCTGTGTGATTTGAAAAACAAAAAACAACAACAAAAATTGGTTCTTGTTCCTGTATTTTAAACAATACCCGCAACATCAATCGTCAACCACAACAATAACAACGGCCACCGGTCTATTCTATCGCCCGAATAAACAAAATAACAACAATAACAACAACATTGCCTTATCAAAACAAATAAACAAATCTGGATTTGTTTTCTTACCGACATCACGATGTCAGAACAAGAGGTGAATGAGAAAATCTATGACCATCGCGTTCTCACCGATTGGTCAAATGTCAACAATAATACAAACGGCACCATGCACTACTCCAAGGATATGATCTTCAATGATGGTCATCGTTTATCGATAACAGTTTACAGGTGAGTGCAAATGCAGTTTGATGCCATTACAGAGAGTATGAAAGAGAAAATAAGAAAAGGGAAATTGTAAAAAGGGAAATAGATTAAGTTTGAAAGGGAGATATTAACATTAAGACTTTCTTCAAGTTTTGTTGGCTTATATTCAATAAACTAAGTAATTTAATTGTGGAATTATATATGAATTGTTCTTTTGAATTTATTTAGATATTTTTTAAAAAGTATTTTTAATAACATTAATTTTATAGACCTTTAAAAATATTCAAAATTAAAAAATATATATATTTTAGTATACCGATCGACATATCTCGACTAGCTGAGTAGATCTAGACATGTATGTTCGTCCGTCCATTATAATTTGTAAAAACAATTCAGGCCATAGTAATGGAACAATAGTCACATAATTTTTGCACGTAGGGTGGGTTCTGGTAAAAGAAGAGCCCTATTGTTTTAGGTATTAATGCATTAAAATGAAATGGACCAAAAACATTATTTTTGTCTGTTTTTCTGGTCGCTCAAGAGGTCACAATTATGACCCGAACATCACGCAATTTAGCATGGAGATGGGTAGAATAAACATGATTAGTTTGATGAAGTTCGTTCAATATTTAGCGGATCAAATGGACCCAGACTTATGTGTGAAAAATGACAACATTTGTATTCTGTGGTGTATATGTTTACTCCTGAAGACATCGACCAGAGAAGTTGATAGTACATCAAGAGGAGTGGTTGCCCCGCTGTTTAGATGATGATCGGTCAAGCCAATTCCGAGGGTCACAACAACCAAAACCTAAACTGAGCAAATGTTTATTTTATGGTGTAAATATTCGCCTCTGTAAAACATGATAAAAAGTGGAGATGTTCACGTATAATCGGTCAAGAGGCTGCAAATATCGCGAAGTATTACCCAAGCTTAGAACATAGAACTGCAGAAAGTTAGATTTTTTGGTAGTTTTGTAGGGTATTATATGGTCGTCACTGATTTTATTTATTTATTTTTGAATATCTGGGGGGCATTTTTCACATGAATGGTCTGCAATTCCTTATTCCGTCCTCTTGGAGCTTCAAAAATAACGAAATGTTCGATACCCACACTATTTTTGGGATTTCCCGCACCGAAGTGGTGACCTATGTATAGGGGCTATGTTAAAACAGAGACCTATATTGACAATGTTCTGTAAAGAATTTTAGTACCTATCAAGAACACGAAATATCAAATACCTCATATAGGGTGAGACCTTTGTATAGTGGTTATACCAAAAAATGGATATAAACCGAAAAATGCGTTCGAAGAAGTTTTGCATCCAACTTTTTATTCAAAGTTGTAAATATTATGAGCCCTATCGTGATCTCAGAAGTCAGACAGACATGGCTAAATCGACATAGAATTTTATTTTGATTAATAGTATGAACAAACTTTATGTGGTCTCTGACAGGTGGTGTTGAAAAGGGGACAACAAATTTTAATATGGATTATAAGAAATAAAGGAGGTCATAAAAATCCAGGCTTATATTACAGATGCAATTTCTTAAAACCATACTTTTATTAAATATCCGTTCATGGGTCTGTTATTCCTTATTTAAACAAATCCAATCTTATAGATCTGTTTTTCTAGTCAAAATATACCTCTAAAAACTCCGAACTTTTTGCTCTAGTATACCTAGAAAACATAATTCTGAAATTCCTCAAAGTCTTTGAAAGTCTTAGACATACTGACATATTAAAGTCGAGGGGGTTCACAGTCGTCCAACCTTCCGATTGAGAGATATATGCAACCGCCCATTGGATATTTCATTGGTAAAATCGCTTGATCTACGGCGAGGTAGTCGGCAATAGGTGGTCAAGAGAACCTGGTTGCAGAATCTCGAAAGCTATCTGAAATGGGACACCAACGGAGAGGATTACTGTCGTCTATGTGAGGATGAAGAGGAGCTCGAAACAATTGAACATATCCTCTGTAGATGTCCATTTCTGAGTGGCAGAAGACACAAACAGTTTGGAAGATATGAAATTGATAACATAGCTTTCTTCTCCAAAATAGACCCCAATCAGATCCTAGGCTTTGTCAAAAATTTAGCCGTTCTAATATACCTTGAAAAAATATTCTTTAAAAAACACAGGAAAAATATTTACATAAAATCTGTCTCATAGCTCAGCTTGAAAAATATAAAAAAACTAAAAAACTGATATCCTTTTAATTTTTTTAAATCTATCTAATCACATAAGCCGGTATATTCTTGAGAAAAATATTTATTAAAATATTTGTTTTTATTGCTATTATATAAAAATATTAGTGGAAAAAAAGCTCTGCGACTTCTTTGAAAATTCTTTAAAGAAATCCAAGCTCATTGCTCATTGAAATTTCAATAATCATTAAAAAGTTCCAAATATATTTCTAATATGATTTCCAATTATTTTTTAATATTTTTCCCACAATAAATCTATTCATAGTTTGAAAAAAAAAATAATTTTGTTATTTTCAAAAACATTTCTATAAATAATAACAACAACAATCTCTACCAAAGAAATTTATATTATCATCTGACAAGAGTTTAGTTTATTCAAATGTAATTTTGTAATTCTATTTTAAATAATAATAAATAAAAATAACAACAAATTATTATCAACATTCACGGTCTATATAAATAAACATCAAGTAATTACTTTGTTGGTTGATTTGACATCTTATGGCTGGCATTTACTCTCCCTCTTTCTACTCTCTACCCTTGCATGAAATGAAATCTGATCTCTTACTCTCATTTCTTCTTCTTTTCTGCATTACCGTTACAGTATTCTTTTTGTTATCTCAACCATTGGCAACTCGACGGTCTTGTATCTGCTGACCAAGCGTCGCTTGCGTGGTCCCTCGCGTATTGACATCATGCTAATGCATTTGGCAATTGCCGATCTGATGGTGACGTTTCTGCTGATGCCATTGGAAATCGCGTGGGCATATACGGTGCAATGGAAATCGACAGATTTCATGTGTCGCCTGATGAGTTTCTTTCGTGTGTTTGGCCTGTATCTATCGGGCTTCGTATTGGTGTGCATATCAATTGATAGGTAAGTGAGATGAGATGGACCGAGGTGGAGCGGAGAAGGGTGTGGGGGCATGGGGAATGTGCTCTTAATCCTTCTGGGAGATAATGTTGTTATTGTTCAGTTGTTGGCCAAAGATTTGTGATGTCGTTTTGTTGTCTTGTTCTGTTAGATATTATGCCATCTTGAAGCCTTTGAAACTCTCATCGAATCGTGGTCGGATTATGCTGATCATTGCCTGGTGCAGTTCCGTAGTATGCAGTTTACCTCAGGTTAGTGTGTGTGTTTTTTTTTTCTTTTTTGCAAATTTGCATGTCTTTAAGACGTCCATCTTTTGTGGTAATAATACTGCGTGTGGTTGCTTGGCTTCATGTGTCTCTCTCTGTGTCTTGCAGGCATATTTTTTCCACTTGGAGGAGCATCCAAAAGTGAGCGGCTACTTTCAGTGTGTGACGTTTCACTCATTTCCCAGCGAATTCCATCACATTATGTACCAAATTGCCACCATGTGTGCCATGTATGCCTGTCCGCTGATCACCTTTATCTATTGCTATGGTTCGATATATTTGGAGATCTATCGCAAGAGCCAGCGTATAGTAAAAGGCATTGGTAAGTAGCGAACGAACAGAAATATGCGTGCAAGGTGACAAGTGATTTAGGTGAATTTTCAGAGAAAAGAAGAAGAAAAAAATCTATTCCACAACATTGGCTGCTGTGTTCCGCCATGTAAACGAGAGTTGTTCTATGTGATGTTGTAACTGAAAATGTTTGGTTTTTCTGGTATCTTTTGCAGAACGTTTTCGCCGTTCCAATGATGATGTTTTGAGCCGTGCCAAAAAGCGCACTTTGAAGATGACCATAACCATTGTAATTGTTTTCCTTATTTGCTGGACTCCCTATTACATTATTGCCATGTGGTATTGGTTCGACAAGACATCGGTGGATAAGGTCAGTGCTCTAGTCAGCAAATCACTATTTATATTTGCCTGCACGAATTCATGCATGAATCCCATTGTTTATGGAGCATTCAATATACGTGGAAGGATTGGAAATAATGCGGTAAGTAATAGATTATGGGAAAGGGTTAATAAGAGAAAATTGGTAATAATTCATAAAAATATACAGTGAGTAATAAAAATAAGTACATAAAAAATCATTGAAATTTGTATTTGCAAAAAAAACTACTTCAGGTCCAGAATATTTTTCGATCGTTCCCAACGCCACTCTTATTTAAATTAAAAACCAGTAAGGTAAGTAGTAAAGTCGGACGGGGCCGAGTATATGATACCCTTCACCACTTTGAGTATATTCAACAGATGAATCCTAACAGAAGTCGCATTTTTAAAGGACCAGTAAAATGAAATTGGAACCATAAACACATCATTCTGCAACCGATACTAAATTGTTCATTTGGTCAGATATAGAAGCTATATCTAAATCTGAACCGATTTCAGGAAACTTAACACACATCATTCTAGACCTAATTTGCTACGCTGTGCCAAATTTCGAGCAAATCGAAAGATATATAGGGACTTTGGTGCACCATTTACATTAAATCTGACGAAAGTATATGTAGGAGCTATATATAAATCTGAACCGATTTTCAGGCAACTTTACACACATCATTCTAGACCTAATTTGCTACGCTGTGCCAAATTTCGTGCTTAAATCGACTCAAAAAGTGATTCTATGCATATTCTCAAAAGGAGCCATGGGTCTATCTCGATTATTTTTGCATGTTACAAACATATGCACAAAAACATAATACCCTGTACCAGAAAAAAGAATTTGGTTCAAGAACCTCAAAACCTGGGGGCTACCAGAAAAAATTGACCAATATTTATAATTTATAGTGGAGAGATGTGCTACCTAATAAGAACTCGACGTACTAAATTACAGTCAATTTGGTCGAAAAATTCGTTCAGAACCCCCAAAATGCCAAAAATTTTGGGGTACCGTTATATGGGTACTACCAGAAAAACTGGACCTATATTTATAATTTTTAGTGGAGTAATTTGGTACCCAATAAGAACCCAATGTACAAAATTTCAGCGAATTCAGTTATAAAACGAGCCCAAAAACCCGAAAATACCGAAAATTGGGGGTGCCCTTATATGGGGGCTTTCCGAAAAAATGGACCTTTATTTATAATGTTTGGTAGGGAGATTTGCTACCCAATAAGAACACAAAGTACCAAATTTCAGTGAATTCGGTCGAAAAATGCGATCAAAACCCCCAAAATACCGAAAATTGGGGGTAATCTTATATGGGGGCTATCCGAAAAAATGGACCTTTATTTATAATTTTTGGTAGGGAGATTTGCTACCCAATAAGAACTCAATGTACAAAATTTCAGCGAATTCAGTTAAAAAACGCGCTCAAGAACCTCAAAATACCGAAAATTTGGGGGTACCCTTATATGGGGGCTATGCGAAAAAATAGACCGTTATTTATAATTTTTGGTAGGGAGATTTGCTACCCAATAAGAACACAAAGTACCAAATTTCAGCGAATTCGGTCGGAAAATGCGATCAAAACCCCCAAAATACCGAAAATTGGGGGAAATCTTATATGGGGGCTATCCGAAAAAATGGACCTTTATTTATAATTTTTGGTAGAGAGATTTGCTACCCAATAAGAACTCAAAGTACCAAATTTCAGCGAATTCAGTTAAAAAACGCGCTCAAGAACCTCAAAATACCGAAAATTTTGGGGTACCCTTATATGGGAGCTATGCCTAAACGTGGACCGATTTTCTCCAATTTCAATAGGGTTCGTCCATGGGCCAATTAAGTGACCTGTGCCAAATTTCATCCAAATCGGATCATAAATGCGACCTGTACTTTGTTAACAAAAATACATGGACGGACGGACGGACGGACGGACAGACGGACAGACGGACATGCATAAATCGACTCAGAAAGTGATTCTATGCATATTCTCAAAAGGAACCATGGGTCTATCTCGATTATTTTTGCCTGTTACAAACATATGCACAAAGACATAATACCCTGTACCACAGTGTGGTGAAGGGTATAATTATTTATTTATCTCGTTAGAAAATTGTTAAAAATTATTTATTTATCTTGTCAGAAAATTGTTTACTTTTTTGTCACTCACCGTAAATTTTGTAGTTTCAAAAATTTGTATTTTCATTTTTTTTATATTATTAATTTAAATCGTTTACTTTCTTTTGGCACTCACTGTATATTTAAATCTCTTGATGCATTGATGAATGTATTTTGACAAGTGTGAACATTATTGTATAGAGACAGTAATATGATATATTACCGTTACAAATTTCTCTCACACTCTCCCAAAGTAATGAGATTTCAACTTCCGTATAACAGATCTGTTGAGTTCTTTGACTATTGCTATTTGATATTTGTAATATTAAATATCTCTTTCTTTTAGTCCACAATGAGTAATCGCCATACCTCGCTATACAATCGTGGAGATTCCTCGAATCAATTGCCCAAACATTTGCTCAATATAAGTGAGAGTAGTGCAAAAACTGGCAATACTACTCAAATTACAAATATCGATGTGTCGGATGTACCGATTAATGGTAATCACAAAATTTCCGAGATTTCAACAAATGGCAACGAGGTTATTAATAAAATTGATGAGGTGTCGGGATCACCGGTTATATGCATAAAGTAAGTATTACTTAACAACTGAGCGGCAGCAGCAGCAGGTCAGACATAGATCATAGACATTTAAAACTGGCATATCGAACTATTAATTAAGCGGTCTTCTTGTGCGTCAATATCAGTTTAATTGGTATGCGATATTGCTATCGGAAATATTTATCTAATTGTCGAACATCAAGATTTTTTTTTATCTCTCGCTCTCTGGCTTAATTAATTGGTTGGGTGCACAGTGTTTTATATCGATTGAAATGGACATAATTTGGACTTCCCGAAAAAAAATTATTAAAAAAATGTGGGCAACTTGAAAAAAAATTTCAAACCACTGTTCTCAATTAACGGATTGAGTTATTTGTTTGATAACAGATGGTTATTAAATTGATTACATTGTTCCGATGCCACACAACAAACAAATGTTCATAATCGTGACTTACATTGGCCTGTTGCGGCTAACATTTAATTAAATTAATGATGAATCTACACACATACACACACAGCGGTAGATAGCTATGCAAATGTCTGTCTATGTTTAACACTTTTCATTTTAATAATTTTGTTTGTTTTCTTCTTCTTCATCATCTATTTTTTTCAGTTGCGGTGTTGACTCAATTGAACTCTCTAATCGGCAGAAATCGTAATTAGAAACAACAACAAAAAGAAAACATTAACAGCAACAACAAAAACAACAGGAGCAAGCCAATGATCGTCTTCGTTGGAAAATAATACAACAACTTAATAATATTGGAGAATTTAAGTAATAACTCAATGGCTTAAGAAGAGATGATATTGATGAGAGAGAGAGAGAGCAAGAAGAGCCATGCCATGGTGTTTACATGAATAGCGGGCTTAATGTAATTTCTCTTTGGGAAATTGTTTTTGTTTTGGGGCCATTTGGAATTATCATGGATTAATGTAATTAAGAAACAAAATAACGGCTTCAACAACAACGATAATAATAACAACATTGGCATTAGTGCCGCATTTGGCATTCATACACACACACATACATATTAAATGTAAATAATATGTTATTAACATAATTTAGTTGTATTAGCATGATTATTTTTGACTACCTTTCGATTGATTGCTCTCACTATTCGCCTCACTCTCTCCCTATGTATACCAACAAATACAATGATTAGAGTAATCATGTCAATGATTGCCTTCTTGTTGTTGTTGTTTTGATGCTGCTTATTTGCTAGTTTAATGGTGTGGTCCGGTGTCAGAGGCACACGATTCTTTAAATATTTTGCTTTTCTTTTGTATGTATGAGTAGTTTTAGTTTAAATAGTTAAATTTATATATATTTTTAGATTTATAAGCGTACAACAACACAACAAACAATACTATTTATTTATGTCAATAAAACAAAACAACAACAAACAAATTAAATGTTTCTATACATGGCGAGATCATCGCCGGCATCATCATGAAACTTACATTAATTAAGCAGTAGTTTTTTTTTAATTCTTGGATAATATAATCGATTTTTAATTTGTTTTATAAGATATTCAAAACAAACATCCGAAGATATATTTTATTTTTTTTCAAATGAGTAGCTTTTAGGCCCGTTCGATCTTATCAGCAAATTCCAGTTTAATTTGTTGTTTTTTATTTTTTGGCAAAAATGCATAATGCATGAGTCTGTCGTCGGCGGTGGCAGTGTTCGTGATGTTCATGAATACAAATCGTTATTTAATTAATGTTTATTGTATAGTGTGAATGATATTTAAACAAAAACAAAAACAAATAGTCAGCCCTTTTTCATTGATTGACCGCTTCGGGCCACACAAACACTGAAACGAAACTGTCATATTTTAAAATTTTATTGGAATCGATTGTTATGTTATTACGGGGGGATGGAATGAATGAACGAACAAACGAGCGTTAGTTGTAAGACATGGTAGAGCGACATGTGCCATTTGATGATTTGCGGTTTGTTTTTTGAAAATATAGCGTCAAGTTTAATTAACATCGTTCGCCATCAAATATCTTAATTAAAAAGAATATAGGTAATTTGGAGAAGTTTTAACATGGAACGGAAATTTGATCGGATGGAGTTTTTCTATGGCAAGTTTTTATCTGTACAAACGAGGATAAAAATTTAAGACTCCAAGAATACACGAAATGAGGCTAAAACCATCAATATGACTAATATGGAGCGGACCCTTTATATGGACGTTATAACAAAACCTAAAGTTATGTTTTGCGAATAAGTTGTATACCCAGTTAGAAATCGGATATACAAATTATAGAAATTTCCCTTAGGGACAGACACAATACTTAAAACATGGCAAGATTTATGTGTGTGAGCTTTTTAAAAATATTATATTAGAGATTGAAAAATATCATATTTAAACCCTCAAAAATAGAGAAAACTGAAAACAATATATCCCATTTTCATTACCAAACTCCCTGGGAGGACTATAGTGACTTCAACAGAGAGATGGACCAACATACCTCCACCTTTTATGAAATCCAGAATGGGGATATTCCTGAAAAAAAGATAAAATTCCTCCAATGAGTCTCCAACTGGGGTTTTGACGGATCTCAAAATGAGAGCCTGCTTGTCACGTTCCATCATATTTCTAATAGGCTAGACTACCAATTTGTGAATCTGATTTCCAATATTACACTGTCATAAAAATTCGTTGTTTCAATTCCAATCTTGGGAGGACATCAGCCATGTGAAGTGAGTGATAGCATGAACTAGGACATTCTGTTTAAAAATTCTATAAGTGGGCTAAATCACGGTTGGTGGGGATCCATCAACCTAGTGTTTGACTACGGCAACTCGACATTTGTAGAGCCTGAGTATTATGTGAAAAAAATAAGAGTAGATGATTACTGAGGATCCTAGTAAGGCAATAGACACCAACATTTTTGTGGCAATATCAACGATGGCATAACAATTTCTCAGGATGGCGCCCAACTCAAACTGGTTTACTTTAAAGAATAGGGTAATAAATTAGAATCGGTGTTTTAACGTAAAGAAATGCGAAGTCTTACACAGGGAGGAGCGGAATGATGACATGTTTCCTGTAATTGCCAATATGTGTTTTGGGGATGGCGCCCAACTGAACCTTATGTATGTCAAAGAGTCGGAATTTTGAGTATTTTGTTATGAATAATGAGGAGGTCCAAATTATTGAAGCAATATGTTTGTGGCAATTAGAATGGTTGTACAACAAATTCTAGGAATTGTGCCCAACTCAAACTGACGTTCTTTAAAGAATGGGGTAACATGTTAGAGTCGAAATTTGAAAGTAAATAAATGGGACGTTTTTTTTCACAGAGAAGAGCGGAAAAACGGCACCTTTCTTGTAATTGCCTAAATGAGACACAGTATGCTGTTGAGATGGCGCCCAACACAACCTGGCGTAGGTCTAAGAATCTTCAGATGAGCCTGAGGATTCTGTGAAGAAATTTCGTACCTAAATAGAATGGATTAATACTAAAGATCCTAGAAGAATTTCCAAATTCGCTAATTTGGTAGCGCCCAAGTCAACTTGGTGTACTTGACAGATTTGACAAAATGTTAGGGTCGGAGTGTAGACGTAAAGAATTGGGAGGTCTTATACAGGGAGTAGAGTGAATATGACACTTTTCTTATAGCCACAGTGAGTTTCTGGGATGGCGCCCAACATAAACTGCTGTATGTCTACTAATAAGGCAAAGTGTTAGAGTTAAAATGATAGGAGCGGAAATATGCCATCCCCCTGTAGTCTCCTGTAGTGGGCCTAAATGAACCTCATTATAGAAAGTAATTTGGGTCAGCTATCCTTCGCCATAATAGCCAAGCAACACAAGAGGGTTGAAGTCTAGTATGCAGAGATCAATCATTACCTGAATAATTTAAAGTTCAACCTACAAAAACAAAAAACCTGACCACATGAAAAAATTTGTTGTTTAAATTTTAGTGTAAGTTATTTACTTTCTTGACCAACAAAATTATGATTTTGGATGAACATTGTCTAAATGTGTGGTGAGATTTGAAATTTTGAATAGATTGATTTGTGGTCGAATAAATTTAAAACTTGTAATATTTTGTATTAACGAGGGGCATGGGCTCGCATATAGTTGAGTAATGGCATGACATAAATAAATTGTGTATTTATTTAATATTATTTTTAAATGTTTAGATTTTAAACAAAATTCAGATACATTACATATATATGCCAAACATATATCTTACACGAAAAAGTTTCATTTCGATTTCTTTGACCTTAGCTGTCAACATGGTGTTTAATTTCGACAACGTCAGCAATGAAAAAACAAAAAAAAAAAAACTTGTTGACAGTTTGTTTTTCATTTGACAAATGGCAATATGGTTCTGTCAAATGGGTGAAAGAAAAAAGGGCCACCAAATTCGGTAAGTCTATTGTATATTTAATAATTTTACTTAATCTCCATCTAATCTGGGCCAAAAACATAGACATCATTGCAAATTTACACAATAACATGGAACGTGAGTCATCCACAGCGGATCATCAGGGGAAATGAGTTGTTATTTTTTGCAAACAATAAATAATGACATAAAACGATAATATTTTAAACATTAATGCCACACTGCCACCAATCACCACCAAAATTAATGGAAACAAAGAAATTTATTACCGCTTTTTTATTTCATGGAACGACGCCAATAATCAATTAATTTACCCACTAAATAAATTATTTAATTGTTCCGTGGCCACTCGATTCGTCGTCTGCTATTACTTCAGCCACACCTGTTGCTGCTTTATTGATATTTTGCTTTGCCTTGGCCACAGTTAATGCAACAAGTGTCTGGATTTGCATTGCATTGCCGCGTGTCTCGTGTGCCGCCGACCGAACTACCACAATTCAGTTGTCTTCCACATCATCGTCGCACATTTTGTATGCACAGCAATGCTGATTTTCTACGCACACTCACATACACACACACTCTCGCACACACGCTTTTCACCTAAAGAGGAAGATTTTTCATCATTATGTCGCATTGTGTCACAAAGCGTTTTGCAACTAATCAAC